CTGCACTGAAAATGTAGCAGACTCTACTTTTTGAGGAAGCTTAGATGTTTTAATGTATGCAGTAAATTGTCATCAAACGGAGTGTTTTCAGCAGCAGGCTCATTCAACTCAGTAAGGTAGAAAAAGACTCGTGTCTGTCCAGGGGGAGGACGCTTGCACTGGACAAAGCACACCCTAATTCTCATGTTCACACTCTTCCCTACAGGGAGAGCCTAAACCTAACCAACTGGTTTTGGAGTGAAAACCTATCTAATGTGGCACCTGGTGCATCAAGGCACTGGCACCAACGACTAGCAGCAAAGTACATGCTTTTGGGGGAAATCGCACTTAAACTGAGGTCAATATTGGTTACTTTTTAATGTATATATATTCATAAAAAGAAACAAATCCACATGACGAATAACACATAGTTAACCTGTGAATATGTGCAAATGATTTCATCTGATTGTGACACATCAATGAAGCGAATAACGGAGGTCTTTGCTTTCTGTATTTCCTCAGATCGATTCATTCTTTTAAATTCAAATACCAGCCTAAATGTTGTTGAATAATAAAGCTTATTTTAAAGACATTTGAGTGATTAATGTGACATTTAATGCTGGTTGTTTTTCTTGGAATTAAAGCATTAAAATCCCAAATCCTCAGCATGTGTTAGTCTGTGCCGTTGAAGAAAAACCATCTCGCTTTGGAGTACAAACACTCCACACAGGATGTGCTCTACATGACCTGACCTACAGTTGCACTTATGATGCTCTGGGCAGCAGCCAAATGTTTCAAAGCATTGTCTAAATCTGAACTTTGTAACTCGTACTTCTCTTTCCGTCTGAGTCGGCGTGGACTTTGCGAACCAGGAATCCGTTCTTGTACAGCAGCATTCCGGTGGGCTGCAACTCATCCGACAGGGGCTTCCCGCTGCTGCCTACCCTCTTCATCGATCTGGAGGAGTTGGAGTCACACAGGCTGTCCCCGAGCTCCGAAAACGACTTCCGCAGCTCTTCCTCATCCCTATGAGGAGGAAAAAAAACAGTTCAGACTCCATGGTGATCAACACTTATGTGTCATGTCTCATTAGCATCGCGAATAAACACATCATCATGCATCCTGTCCATTTGCCTCACACTCAGCACAGGACATGAGGTCCGGAGATTTCACGCACGTACACATGAGTAATATCGCTGTCCGCTGCTGGTGTCTTGGCACAGCTTCTGCTCTTCAAGACATTTACAAAGCATCATCTCGCTGGGGGAAACCAGAGCGAACAAAGTTTTCTTCAAAGCTTTAATTGTGGGTTTTCCTCTCGCCGTTCTCGCTGTGCTCCTGTTCTCCTCAGAACAGAAGTCCACTCTCCTTGATCAAAAAATACCACAGGAAAAGAGTGACACCATCTATCTTGCTCCTGCTTTGAGGTGAAAAACAGGGGCATCTTTACCCAGAGGGACAGCTGCTCTCAGAGATGCCGACACATCACACAGAGGATGCTACAAAACGCTGAGGCTTTAAAGTCTCCTCAAAAAGCTAAGAAAGCATAAACCCTTATTCTGTTTTTAAAATGTAAAAATCTCATCACACTGCAAAGTCATTCAAATTCAAGAGTGAGCATCAAAGATTTTTTTACACTTAATCTCTGAAAGACTGCATCTTTGTTCTTAAAAAAAAGTTTTCATTCAGTTTTTGCTGTTTGGTATTATTCATATCACTAGGGCTGGGCTATATCATACCGTTCACGGTAATAC